TATGTTTGTCAGGGGAGGTGGAAGAAATGTGTTCAGAAATGTCACCAGGGTTTGGGCGGCAGCATCATGAGCAGGCAGGGACCCAGGAGCCTCCACTGGGTCTGTCCAGGCAGCAGTGCTACCCAGAGCCTGAGGGCCAGATCAGCGAGGGCTGCACTAGGCAGCAGGCAGCAACTGTGTGGGGAGCCCCAGGCTGGCAGAGGGACAGGGCGCTGGGAAGCAGGCTCCATGGAGCTCACTGTCCCTCAGCCAACATGGGTTACTCTGTGCACACACGTGCTAGGCCCCAGAAAGGCCGGAGAGCTGCTTCAGAGGAAGGGATTCCTGAGGGCCGGGGAACATGCATTTCTAAACATAAAGACCCTTATGAAGACACACAACCAAAGGGGACCTGTAGGCAGCATACGAGGCCAGGGAGCTCCCGGCTCCAGGCTTATAGCTGCCCTGGAAGGAAAACAGTGAGTGTGTGGAGGCCGGGGAGTCCCAGGACCCTGAGGGCACAAACCAGGTAGGCAGAGGGGCAGGCCAAACAGGCAAGGGGCTCTCAGCAGCTGCCTGTTACCTGCCTGACTCCATGTGGGAGTCCCTGTCTCTCAATTCTGAACACAGGTACACACTGTTCAAACCAACAGGCCACAAGCTACTCATCCACCTCGGTGAAGGCTTGAGGGGAGCGATGTGCACTAAGTGCCTGCTCTTCACCAGCTACTGGGTGGCTCTTTTCACACGCGTGGTCCTTTGAAAGTTGCAGAAAGTTGGCACAGCCGATGCGCATTCACACGGCAGGGCCCCCGACCTGATGGTGGGTGCGGATTCACACGCAGGGCCCCGACCTGACAGTGGGTGCGGATTCACACGGCAGGGCCCAACCTGAACCTCCATCTGTCCTCAGTGGGGTATTTGCTCTGGTATTGATAAGTGGGTTGTTCTAAGATTTTTAAAAAATGTGGGGAAATGTTTTTGCTGTGATACTGAGTGAAAAATAAGATTTAAGGTTATTTATAGTACAGGCTGCATTAAAGCTATTTATTATAAAATGCAATTTAATATAAAATGTAATGCTGTATTACAAGATGCAATATATTATTCATACTATACACACACACACACGTAAACACATTAGAGAGAGAGAGAAGTGAGGAGGAAAAATGATTGTAGAGAGGTCACCAAAAGGTTAGCACTGCTTCTCCCTGAGGGGTTCTGACTCATAGTGCTCTGCAGTATTTTCCAGATATCCTACAGTAACACACTGATAACAAAAATAACAATAATAACAGCCTTTATCAGGCAAGCGTGCTCCTGCCTGCCCGGGAGGCCTGCGGGCCCAGTGTGCCTTGTGTGTCCCCGTCTCTCTCTTTCACTGGGAGCCTCACTTCCCATCACTTGACTCCATGAGTGGCCTTTCCTCTTTCCACTTTGTGCTTGCCTCGGGCGATCCCATCCACATCTTTGATCACAATCACTACGGACAGCTGCCACTCTCAACTTTTGTGTTAATTTCAGTTCTGTGGCTCCATCCAAGACCTTGCTCCTGAACTCCAGGCTGAAGTTTTCAACTGTGAAGAGGATACGTCTTTCCAGGTGACCTTGGAGCCCTCCAGGTCAGCACATCTTCGCCAGCCTCTTGGCCCACAGTGCATCTATCCCTAAGGGCTCCTCATCCCTAGTCTCTCAGACTCCCCAGGCTCTCCCCAGTCTCACAGAACAGGGGAGCCACTCTCCCACCTGTCTCCTCCTCAACCTGCACGGAGTCAGGGGTCACACTGCCGGTTCCTTCTCTGGGTCCTCGCTGGCACCGCTTTCTTTCAGGGCCTCATCATCGCGCCGCTGGCGAGTGTTCAGAAAGGAGTCGGTCTGAATGGCACTTGCTTTGGAAAGAAGTTCTGGCAGCATGGGTGGTGGGCGGTGCAGGGAACGGTGGAGGTGATATGCAAGGCCTTGACCTCCCTCCTGTTCCCCTGGTGTTTACTTTAACTCTGCCGGCCTGGAAGGAAATGTTTTCATCTCTCCCATTTTGGAATTCTATTAGGGTTTACTTAGAAAAACAAAATAAAATAACTTCCAAAAAAAAAGAAAAGAAACCTTCTATGGGCTTCAAAATCTTATTCCACTGATGCCTCTGAAACCTTCCACATGATTTTTTCCTGAAAGGTAATAAACAATCGGGAACTCATTAGCACATGTAGGTAATTCACACATTTTCCCTGCTGCGAATCTCCTCTTCCTAGGTGATATCCTGTCTCAGCTTAGCAGGAAATTTCTGCTGGCTTTGCCCAAATAACGTGGAAAGACTTAAGGTTGTTTTTATTGGATAGGAGAGCTGGAGACTAGACTGTATATAAGATGCCTTATAAAGCAAATTTCTCATGATTTTTACAGGGAGACAAAGGGGAGTTTGTGGGGTGCCAGCCACCTGTCCTGCTTAGGGCTGACCTCCGGGGGCACTCACAGGGAGGCAGATGTGCCTGCCAGCACACTTCTTCTGGCAGAGTGTCTCAGCTCAAAGCTAGACATTCACCTGGCTTCCAGTCCCCAGCAAGAAGGTGGCATCCTGCTTGTTTGTGCGACAGCCGTCTTCTTTGCATCTTCTCTGCCTTTGCTCTTTCAACCGTCCTCAAGATGTACAAAGGACCTTTGCAAAACCAGTTCATGGAGGGAGTCCTCCTAAACAATCATTGAAATGAGTGTGTCTATGAGGGAGCGTCTCCTACTCATGGGGATGTAGAAGGTTCCCGGGTTAAGTGGGATGAGAGGCAAACCCCGAAATGAAGCTGATGGAAATGAGAGCCAGGAGGAGGAGGAGAAGCCCTGTGCTGGGTCCTTGGCCCTAGCAATGATTAGTGGAAATGGTCGTGCCTGCATCGTCCAGGGCTGTTTTCCCGTAATTTAGTACACAGAATGGTACAGAAAAGGGCTTCCAAGCATTGTCATACAAAAAGAGAGTCAAGCTTGTGGCAGGAAACAGCAAAAGAGTTTAGGCTGCTTTGTGGTTGAGTCGAGTTGCTTCTGACTTTCCACCTCTTCTTCAGGGCCAAGCAGTGGTTCAAGGGGTCCTGAGCTCAGAGCATCAGCAAGCCCGGGGGGTGTGCTGGCAAAAACTGACTTCAGCAGAACCCTTTTTAGGACAGTGGGGATGGAGTTGAGATTCCCTAAAGGAGTGCTTCAGCTCCCACAGATTGTGGCTCACCCTATCTTCCCAGGAGCCTGGGGGCCACACACACGAAGCTCTGCTTTTGCAGAGAACAGCATGCAAGCCAGGCACCAGCACCCCTGGCCTTCTGTCTCTGCCTCCAAACAATGCAGAAGGGAGGAGAATCTCCTGTTCAAAACAGACCATGCGGTGGGGGAGGTGGGTGGCGGGGGCATGTGAGCCTGCCTAGAGATGCCTCCCCAATATCCTGATCTGGCTCTGACCATTAAACTGACACATTTATAACACACGAGCACATACTAATATATGCACATAAATTAAGGGTGTAAGTGAATAGTAACAGCCTTCTAATCTGCAGAGCTTTCTGATTTTAGGTGAATAAAAAAATGCCAGTAATTTTGCATCAAAGAGACAGATAAACTTGCTAATTGAAAACTGGTTTTCGTGGAGGAAAATATGGAGGCGCCAGCTATGTAAATCAGCATATGCCCAGATCTAAAAGAAATCATGCCAGGCCAAGAGGAAATTAAGCAAATCAGGATAATGAGGAAACAACCCTAGATGCAAATTAAAAGCACTGGGGTGCTTTAGTCCATCTCAGGAGGTTGGCAGTGGACAGGTGGGAGGTGATGCGAACACGTGTTTGGAGTACCAGGCGTGTCTGTGCCGGTAGGTGGGTAGGTGCCTGCTCTCCCACCCACGTCAGGGAGGGTTTTTCATGCAGGTTCTTAAATGCATGGATCATAATGCTGCCTTTTGCATCCCGAAAGCCCCTTCAATGCCTCTAACAAGCACTGGTCTCGCGCTGGCATTAGCTGTGCTTGGGTTTCCTGGGTTTAGCGACCTAAGGGGTTTACAGCGCAAGGAAGTCTCTGTCCAGCTCTCAGCGCGCATCGCCAGGGGCTGGACTAAAGCTGTGGCCCGGGATGGGGAGGACGCTGGCGGCCTCCGAAGCAGGGTCTACAGCGGGGAAGGGCGAGCGCCGTCTGGCGGTGGCTGCGCGTGGCCAGCGCTGACCCAAGCTCCGTTCGGCCGGCGCTGCCGCGTGTGCTCCGGGTGGAGCGAGGGTCCTCGGAGCCCGGGTCTGTCCTGGGTCCCAGGAAGTTCGGCGTGCAGCGTCAGAGGCTGCGTGTGCTGGGGGTGGGAGGAGCACAGACTGTGCCTGGGGGCATTCAGGACGAATTCATAGAGGGGTGGTCCTGCCCCACCCTGGGAGTGTCCTGGGCAAAGGCCCTGGGGCCACCTGCCTGGTGCCGTGGAGGGCGTAGGGCAGGAGCTGCCGAGGCCAGCGGGCCACTGTGGGGCGCGGAACTTTAGACCAGGCACCCACGGCTCAACCTCTGGGCCAGGGGACCCGCGGGGGCCTTAAGAACGTGTTTGGCCGATTTGTGCAGCAGAAATCTGCCAGCGCCTAGCAGCGCCCGGGCCGCCTGCGCTGGGATCCGCAGCCCAGTACCCCCCGGGACCCGCGCCCTGGACTCCGAGGAGGCCAGGTAGAGAGCGGCCCGCGCTGTCCCCATCTGCGCCCTCAGCCCCACCCGGGCAGCGGGACATGCCTGGCTCCGGCGCCGCCACCCCGGCTTCCGCTTGCCCTTGAGTGCGGAGCCCAGAGTCTCCCTGGCGGTGCGCTGGGTCCCCGAGGGCCAGAGGCCACCAGGGGGGCGGCACTGGCGGGAGCCCAGCCGGGCGCGCCCTCGGCCCTCGCCCACCCACGTCCTCCGCGGCCGCCCGGGTCCAGGGGGCGCAGTGGGGAGGAGACCCGGGCCAGGGCCAGGGAGCGCGCGGGCGGGGCTGGGGCTGGCGGGGAGGGGCGCAGGCGGGCGGGGACCGGGGCGGGGGCCGGGTCCGGGGGCGGCGGCGGCGCGGGCGGGAGGAGGAGGAGCTCCCCGCGCGGGGCAGGGGCGGAGCGAGCGGCCGCGCAGTGGAGCCAAGTGAGTTCGCTCCGGAGCCCGCGCCGCCGCCGGCCCCGCATCTCGGGCGCCCGCCGCCCCCGCCGCCGCCGCCCGCGCGGGGATGTAGGATGCAGGCGGGCACCAGGTTCCAGCGGCGGCGGCGGCAGCTGCAACAGCAGCAGCCCCGGCGGCGGCAGCCTCTCCTCTGGCCCATGGACGCAGAGCCGCCGCCGCCGCCGCCCTGGGTCTGGATGGTGCCGGGCTCGGCCGGGCTGTTCCGGCTCAGCGCGGGGGTCGCGGTTCCCCCGGTGCTGCTCGCCTCGGCCCCGCCGCCCGCTGCCGCGCTGCTCCCCGGTCTCCCGGGCTGGCCGGCCCCGAGCGAGCCGGTGCTCCCGCTGCTGCCGCTGCCCTCTGCGCCAGACCCCGCCGCCGCCGCCGCGCACCCCTTCCCCGCGCTCCACGGGCAGGTAACGTGTCCCCGTCCCGCCTCGGCCCGAATCGCCGGCTCTCCCGCTCCTGGGCGCGCCCTGCCTGGCCCGGCTCTGGCCTCCGGCTCGCGCGCCCTCCTCCCCGGCGGTCCTTGCCGCCCCAAACCTCAGGACGCAGCCCGGCAGCCGTGCCTCGGCGAGAAAGTTCATGCTTGGACGCCCGGCTGTCCACCTCCGCAGCTTTGGCAGGTGCCTCCGGGTGTCTGGACGGAGCCGTAGAGGGACCCGCCGCCCAGGCCCGCGTGGGGACCGCAGGGAACTCGCGCCAGGCCGGGGGTCGCTGTCCACCGCGCGGTGCTGAAGTGGCTCCGTGGCCGCCGCGGGCCGTGGCTGACATCGCGGAGAAGTTAGGACTTTCACTGTCTCTCCCAGACTTGAAAGCAAGCTGGAAATCGATAGCTGTTTCGGATTCTAATCTGGGTTGGATTTTTTCCCCCTTTCGTTTGAAAATAGACTCAGGGCAATGCTTGAGAGAATTCCAACCGGTGGAAGTGGCTGGGAAATCCTGCCTTCGGTACTGAGAGGTATTACCGGAGATTCCCCTGCCCAGGCCTGCCGGAGTCCACCACATTCGTTAATGCCACACTGCACTTTAGAAGAGTTTGGCTTTTAAGACATCGAATTAAAAAGAAAAAGTGACTGAACCTTTGATAAATGGTGCAGCAGAGCTAGGCAGGCTGGTTTGGGCAAGATTCATTGTCAGCTAACTATGCAGATGCATTTAAAATCAGGGAATAGCGTGCATTTTATTCCAAGGATTGACCTCATTAGCATATTCAAATGAGTGTTATGTTAGAATACACCATTTGATTAATTTAATTCCAATATTATCTTGTAAGTTTTTCTAAAAGATGTTGTTAAACTCCTGCTAAATTGGTCTTTAGACTTAATGATACATCACATATGCAGCCCTGGATATTGTGTTTGTATGTGTGATGCAGTTTATTTTGGAGAATTTTCAATAAACGTTGGTAGTTTTTGCCGTATTTTGGAGGGGTGTTATATCAGAATGCTACCACTAGAGGTATATAATGTCAAGGAACTACATTTTTAAAAATTCTGTTTTAAAAAACTGCATTTTTTCACTTGTATAAATTTAAGAGAAAATTTTTTTAAAAACCTTAGTATTAATATTTTAAATATTTTTGTGCTACCCATCTTCTGTAAAGTAAGAATATGTAGAACCAGAAGAACATTTTCACATAACAGGAATATCACAAATGCTTTTATGATTTTAAAACAATAGGTACTAAAACGTTCCATGTCATTGAGCAATGCATTTTATTAATGCCTTATGAGGTCTCAGTTATTTCAATTAGAGAGACGGTGTCCTGAATTACCAGCCCCTTTCTATGACTGATGTTTTATTCTGTGCATTGAGATCTTCAAGTCATGAGATGCTTAGTTTTTTTTTTTTTTCCATAGAATCTGTTTGTATTGGTGAACCTTGTATTGGTGAAACTTGGAATCTTAACTTCTTAGATATTTTCATTTTGAAAGTATTAGTTGTTTGTAAAACGACAAATGTAATTAATACAAAACGCAATACTGAAAGGAATAATATAGCCCTATGCCTGCCTATAAAAATAATTTAAGGATTAGAAAGGGAATACCCAGCATTTCTCTTTTTCATGGTGGTTTCTCATGATCTCAGAGCAGAAACCCATTTCTTACCTTGTGCTTGAGGTTTTGTGCTTAGAAGTTCTTTTTCAGTATTGAAGAATGTAACGTTGGTAATGCTTTGTGATGATTCAGATATGAAAACTATAATTTTTCCTTTGATTGGTAAGTATTTATAGTTTTCCTCGAGGAAGTTTATCTGATAATCAAATACATACACTTTGAAATTCCCTTTTCAAAGCAGTTATTCTAGAATGTTTTGGTGTGAAGTTGAGTGGATGGATTCAGGCTAATGCAACTGTCTTTTCTTGCTTGGCTTGCAGTGGCTGTTTGGTGGCCATTCTCCGTCCCTAGGACTGCCCCCCTCTTCCACAGTGGAGCTGGTGCCCATCTTCCCACATCTCTGCCCTTCTGCTCTTGCAAATCCTATTGGGAAAAGTTGGATAGATAAAAGGATTCCTAACTGTAAGGTAAAAATGCAAGTGATTTAATTGGATAAGGGGTTTTTAATGATTAAGTTGTTGAACATCGCCATAACAACAAAAATATCCATGTATTTTCTCGTTGCCATAAATTGGCCATCTAGGTATACAAAGAAATCATTTCAAGATTAGATTGATTTGTTCAAAAATATCAGCAAGTGGGGGGCATTTTGTTTTAGTTTAGGATATTTGGATTCCACAGGGCAATGTAAAATTTCCAATTTTTGAATCAGAGTCTTTTTTAAATTTTTTTTGTTTTTAAATTTGTAACCATTGATCCAAGATCTAGACTTAAACATTACACAATACCAGTTCAAGTTTTAAAAGTCAGTTTTTCTTCATATGATGCTTTAAGTTTTCATCTTTCTAATGGTTTGTTTTGGCTTTTGGATTCAAATTTACTGACTACATTTTGTTCACAAGGAAACTAAAGAAGTAAATTATTGACTTGTTGTAGAGCTTAGTAATTATCTCATGGGGTGCTTCTTCAATCAGTGAACTGACTGCTGTGCTGAAGTGACCAAGTCAATAGCTGAAGGCCAGCCCAGAAGATATTAACTAGATGGTGATTGGTATTGAAGCTCTGTGGAACTTCCTTTAAGTTTTAGAATGATGTTTTTATAGAGTCCCCAATAATAGAATGTTCAATGCTGGATCAACGTAAGGCAGCATAAATATTTTCATAGTCATGTTCAGCTTTTATCATGTACCTTGCCTTAAATGTTATGCTTGCATTATTTTCGGACAGATCTTTTTTAATAATTCCTTTGCTCTGGACTCAACGTGGATACATCCTGAGGAGTCAAGATTGTTCCATGGGCATGAAAAGCCTCATTTGCTGGCAAATCAAGTCGCTGTGTCTCTGTCCAGGCCGGGTCCTGCCTCCAGGCCACTCCCCACAGTGGTGTTAGCACCTCAGCCCATCCCAGGTTGGTGCCCAAATAACATTGACAATGTGCTTTTCATTTTTGCTTCAATCACAAATTAGTTTTAGATATGAAAACCATACTTGTCTTTTTAATGAAACAATTATCTTGGTAAAAGATAATTTCTTTTCACAAGCATGAAGCTTTTTTAAAAAAATGAGTCTTGGATAGCTTATCCACTGTTTTTTTCTGGGGTGGGTGGATAAGAGATCTGATGTTAAAATGAAGAGATGGCTGAAGGGGTTTTCACAGAATTGTACTTGCAATGCTCTATTTTTAGGATTGGACCAGGTTTCCTGCTGATAGCTCTTAATAGGGGCACTCATTGATCAGCCTACTCTTTAAAAAATGTTGCTTGTGTGTGGCGAGGTGCAAGGAATAACGTTTGCTGGTCTGTAGGGCACAGTAACATGTGTGATCTCTGAATTTTGCCTTCCCATTGCGGTGATAGTGAGATGCACTATAAAATGCCCTGTTTGAAAGATGGATTTTATTCTATCTTTGGAGTCTAGTGACCTGAAAGAACATTTGTCCTGGAACAGACTCCCATGAAGCAATGCCTGGATGAAAGATTGTATAATAAACCTACATAGTAACAGGGGAATATAATCATCTTATGAATTTTTAAATTGATTTTTAAAATCACCTTAACATGTGGATCATTTTATGAAAGCAAATGCTGCCCGTGCCAAAATCGTCGTGCAACACCTTCCATTATGGAATATGTTATGGCTTCAGAATTACATTACCTTTCTGTAATTTCCTACCTCCCAAGCTTGTCTCAATGTGTGTCTCTAACGTTTAGTAATAAGATGTTCTTGTGGATAATGCAGTGATGGGTTAGGAGATATATTTATTTTGTTCTCTGTTTGCTTACACATTTATTCCAATTTGCTATGAATCTTGTTCAGTAATAAGTCAGGAAGAACAACTAAACTATTTGTGTTTCTCATAGGCCTAAATGATTTCTGACTGCAACCTGTCCTTGTAATTACACATTAGGGATTAATTGAAGTCTGAGTGAGCATGGTACATGCACACATTTATAAACATTTTACACTAACATGATCATGCTTCCTATTTGATTTAATGATGATAAACGATGATTCAGTGGCATGTGTTATATGAGGATGACATGACTTTGGAAGGTTCTTTTGGTATATGAAAAGGTAATATTTTAATTTCCTAATGCGTTGGCCATAACTGTCATGAAAATAACCAGCAAATGTAGTTTTAAAAATGGTGAAATGAGCTCACCTGTTCCCACAAAGTCTTTATGTGAACTTTCCTTCTCTCAGTTCACCCCTGAGTATCATACAGACGTTTTCCACCGTTCCTTCACCTTCTTCATAGGAAATCCATATACAAATGTGCTAAATATCTGTTTAGTTGGAGAAGCTTATGGTCACCTCTCATAGATTTTCCACCTTAGGGACATCGTTTACTTACTATTGTGTGGCAAATATGCAATACTTCATTAGAAACATGTTTGTATTGATTTTACCTTCTTTTGATTTTTGGATGAATCTATTTTTTAAACTTTTACAAATTATTTTTACAATTTTTTGTGGGTACATAGTAGGTGTGTGTGTTTGTGGGGTACGTGAGATGTTTGGACCACAGACACGCAGTGTGAGATAAGCGCATCCTAGAGAATGGAGTATCCATTAATGGATCTATTTTTAAGAATAAAATAAAATAATATTTCTTATAAACATGATAAATAGCAGAATAACCTTTCATTCTAACCTAGTCTACTATTCAACAAAGCTTAGATTTTCTCTTCTCTGCTTTTTTTTTTTTAAATTTATGGATCATATGTGAATATAACACTTAAAATTTTAATTATGTTATGGGGAGAAAGGTACCTGACACCAAAGGTAATTTAATAATAATCAAATGTATTTGTTTTGAGATGGTAGTTTCTGAATTGCTTCATGAAAACTTTTCTTTTTTGATAAATTTCAGAATTCTTAGAATTTACCCAACTTTGGAATGCACATACCGAATGTCTCTTAGGCCAAAGAAAACATATAAGGGGTTATTTACATGCTACAAACTGCTTAACAGAGAACTGGGATGAGGGGGGCAAATAAAGGTGGAAGGTAGGGTAAACTCCAAGTAAGTTAAAAATTCAGGTAAATGGTTTTAATTTTACTGTAGTTAATGAGAAATTACAACTTTATTAAGACACTCACACGTAAATGTTCATGTATGCTGTCATTACTAAAAATTACTATTAATTTTTCATATCCTATTATGAATTGATAAATTTATATATTTTAGCTAATTTATATCGCAATTATATTATAAAAGTATGCATTTACAAATATATGTATGTACTATATATAAAATATATAATGTATAAATCTATTATACAATTGTTATATTACATCAATCAATCTTGTTATAAAGTTTTATATTCAGAAATAAATGGCCTTAGAATCAGATATATTTTATCGATCCCCTTCAAGTTAATCAGTGAAGCAGAATCACAGTACCAAAGAGCAGGAAAAGTGAATCAAACTCGCTCATTTTCAACAGGTCTAGTGAGCTAAGCTTATTTTCCTTTCTTGGAGAGGTAGTAATTTTTCTGTAATGATCATTCTTTAAGTACTTTTAAAATCTGCACTGTTGTTTTAGGGATAATGGCAATTTATACTATGAACTCAAATGATGTGACCCAGAAGTCAGGTTTGTTTGAATGAACTGAATCGTTTGTTGAACTAAGTTGGAATCTCTCTGGTAGAGATGGGGGTGAGACTAATATCAGATCACCCCTCACTTACTGTTGATTAGGAATTAACTGCACGGCACAGAGTCTCAGATAATATAAGCACAATTTGGATGAATTTGGAAAAGCTATCTAAGCTTTAATAAGTATTATAAAGGACTCCATTTTTATATACACTGCACTCATTAGTGACCAGGAGGATGATGGTCGCCTGTCATCACACTCTCACACTCTGTTGTAAACAAACCTGTTGGTCATTTTTGAGCCTCCCAAAGGGCCAACCTCCTGATGCCATCACTTTGGGGGCTAGTCCATCAACATATGACCTGAGGGAGAAATTCAAGTGGCGTGTGCTCTCTACAGGTGTTTGAGGAGAACCTTAGCAGGGGATCCTCAGGGAAGGCCTCTGTGGCCAATGCCACCTTGGGGCAGGAACAGTCGAATGAATTCCAAATGAAGGACATAGAATGTCCAAAGACACAAAATCAAGAGGAGCATTTTGGGATCGGGCAATTCCAAGTAGCCAAGTGTGGTTGGGCTGCCGGAGGAGATGTGGCAGGGATGGGCTCTGGGACCTCTTCAAACAAGACCCGTCACATGAGACCTGTGGTGTGAGTCAGTTCCCTGGATCCTCACGGACTGTTGGGGGACTTTACATCATTCTTCCACTCAGGATTCTTGGCTTCTCCAGGAAAGTGTGAACTTGTTCTCGGGAAGCAGAGGAGCCACAGAAGAGGCAGAGCGTTCTCACAGACAAATAAATTCAAGTACACAAATAATTACACCTGCACTAGAAACTAAGATCTCCAATTAATGATTTTGCAAAGAATGATTTAATGATTTAATGATCTCTAATTAATGATTTTGCAAAGTTGTCAAAGAAATTCTTCCTGATCATTGTGAATGGGTTGAATTGAGAAATTATCTCGGATCCATTGATTCCCAGACCTCAGAAGCTGATTCAGGGCTGGACAGGCAGGGAGAGGCCACCTGCCCCACAGTCACCACTTCTTCTTCAGCAGTGCCTGTGCATCAGCTGCCGCATCCCCATGAACACCTCCCCGCTCCCTGCAGTCCTACCAGTCCCTCTTCTTCCCAGGCAGAAGGGGCTTACCTTGCATCTTAGGACATGCGGTTCCTCACAGGCAGATGTGGAGAAGGGTCTGAGTGGCATGAGTACCTTCCAAGGAGTCTCTGTTTTCTACTTCTGAAAATAAGAGCTTCAGAGTCCTTCAAGCCATTCAGGAATTAAATAATTTATATCAAGAATATCAAGCAGTAGGAGGAGAAGGTAGTTAATTCAGCATCTGTCCAACAAAGGCAAATGAAATAGAAGGATCTTGCTGGAAACTAGAGATTTATGTAAAAGTTGTCCATATCCCATTGCCTGCCGGCATAAGATCAAAGAGCCTGATTCTGCCAACAAACAAACCAAACCAAACCAAACCAAACCACTGACTGTACCTCTCTTCATTCAAAGATGACTAAGAGAGAGAGGGGGAGACAAAGTGGAAGATGAGATAGGGCATCTGAAGTATTGTGCTTCATAAAAGATTCATTTGCTCAAAAGCTCCAGAAGAGAAACATATCTGAGAAATGGATTTTGCACAGGAATTTGTAACCATTGTAGTCAAAACACGTTTTGCCTCTCTTAATAGGTAAAATAAAATAGAACATAGAAAAGCAGTAAAAGATAAACTCAAAAGAGAGTTGGTCAATGTGAAAAGACAGTTTGAGGAAAAGAGAAAAGAATGCAAGGAAACTTCTGAAAACTAGCAACTAAAATCATTGAAGAGAAGAACTGATTATGCATCTGATGAGAGAAGACAACACAGAAAGATTCTTAAGCATAAATAGATGTGACTGTGAAAATCAGATCGTAACAGTGGGAGAAGGTGATATCTGTGTAAAATAGAAAGCAAACAACAAACCTATATTGCTTTGACCTCCTTAAAAACACAGATTTCATGAATGGAAGAAAATTTTTGCAATCTATCCATCTGACAAAGGGCTAATATCTGGAATCTACAGAGAACTTAAACAAATTTACAAGAAAAATACAAACAACCCCATTACAAAGTGGGCAAAGGATATGAACAGACACTTCTCAAAAGAAGACCATTATGCAGCCAACAAACATATAAAAAAAGCTCATCATTACTGGTCATTAGAGAAATGCAAATCAAAACCACATTGAGATACCATCTCACTCCAGTTAGAATGGTAAACATTAAAAAGTCAGGAAATAACAGATGCTGGAAAGGATGTG